TAGTAACAGTTTTATGGTGTTTTCTTTTGCATTTTGGAAAAAAATTAGAGTTTTCAAACCTCTTAAACCCTTTTTGTATATAATATAGTTAACCGTAGACCGGTTCACGTAACAAGATGAAGGGACTGGACCAAATTAGTTTGCCTCTATTTCATGGGTCCAATTTTTTTTTTTTTTTCTGGATGTTGTTATGACTGTTTCCAGATTAGATGGCTCTATTAAACGACTTAAAATTTTGTCAATCTTGTAGGATTAGCAGACACAGAGAGTTGATTTGTGGCTTTTGTTTTAGCGTACAGTAATTTGGCCTTGGTTTCGTATTTCATTAGTTCAATAATGTTGGCTGAAAATAACATTTGGATAGAGTTTGGTGGCCCAGTGATAATGTTGGTGCAGATTCTTTCCATTTTAGCTCATTACACATTTCAATCCGAGGCTAAATAATACATGATTCATATATAGGACCTACAAACATTATCTTTCTCTTTTTGTTTCGACCGATCATTTCACTTTTTATTTGTCGTTTATACCCATGCATGGTTATGACTTCTACGACAACATTTCTTACACGATAGGGCTAGTTTTTGATGATTTGTAAGAGATTTGAATCAAATATGATTATTATGATTTGGGAACTTGTTAATTGTTATGTGTTTTTGTCTATCTAATATACTCATCAATATTTTTGGTTTTGGGTTGTTTGAAAATGGTTTATACATCCAACTGTATTAACCTGGTTTTATAGTACTCTATTAAGAATTCAGAGTTCTATTGCGTGAATGATCTTCACCGTCTTATTTGCGTTTAATAAATTGAAGTATATTACGATCAAATCTTTCGGAGACTTGTATACATAAGATACTGTAAAATACTAGCTCAGATCCAGCTAAAATTGAAGTATCAAATTAAGATCAATTATTTCGGATACTTGATATGAGCTAGTATTTTTAAAATTATGGTTTTCTCGCAAACTGTAGAAAATACTGTTTAACTTGTACCATCTCATATTGAACTAAGAACCATAAATGGACGTAGGATTGTATTTTTTTATTTATATTTTAAATATGATTTTTGTAAGGAGGAGGAAGTCCTTAACAAAATCCGACTAAGTATTATGTTCACCATATTTTTTAACGAATTTAAAACGTGGTATTATTTCGCCTATACAAACATTACTAGAAGAATTTAAGTGACATTGAATCTGGAGAATATGTGACACTATGTCTTTAGATTTCTTATATGGGTCCGATCGGTGACTCCGTTTGAACCGAGCGGTTGAACAGAGGATCGTTTGAAACAAGACGGTTAAAAACAATGGTTAGAGAAGGCGTTTGGATAATAGAGAACAATTTATATATAAGTTTGATTGGTAGTATTATAGCGGTAGAATAGTATAATTAGGTAACAAACGACTTTTTATCAATTGTCCGTATGCAATTTCGTTTTTCAACCGTCCGTTTCAACTGCCCGTTTCGGTTGAAGTAACCTCGTTTGCAAATAAAGTTATCAATCTGAGATCTTTGATATTTGGTTAACCGATAAGTTTTGGACCAAAG